CATTTTCTAATAATTGATCCCACAGTTGATTTCTTCACACCAAGCTGTTTACCTATTGCAGATTCAGACTTCCCAGCCTGGTGCAGGTCTATAATTTTGTTTCGGGTGTCCTTTGACAGCTCTCTAGTTTTGGCCAAGGTGGAGTTTAGAGTGTGACTGTTTGAGGTTGTGGACAGGTGTCTTTTATACTGATAACGGGTTCAAACAGGTGCCATTAATGAAGGTAACGAGTGGAGGACAGAGGAGCCTCTTACAGAAGAAGTTACAGGTCTGTGAGAGCCAGAAATCTTGCTTGTTTGTAACTGACCAAATACTTATTTTCCACCATATTTTGCAAATAAATTCTTTAAAAATCAGACAATGTGATTTTCTGGATTTTTTTTCTCATTTTGTCTCTCATAGTTGAGGTATATCTATGATGAAAATTACCGGCCTCTCTCATCTTTTTAAGTGGGAGAACTTGCACTATTGGTGGCTGACTAAATACTTTTTTGCCCCACTGTATATGATCTATATTTATTGTATATCCATCCATCTATCCATTTTGTGTCACGCTTATCCCAAGCGGGGTTGCGAGGGGTGCTAGTTGCTATCTCCAGCTGTACCCCGCCTGCGATGAACCAGTCCATCGCAGGGCAACATATAGACACACAGAAACAAACAACCATTCACATACACACTCATACCTAAGGACAATTTAGAGAAGCCCATTAATCTAACAGTCATATTTTTTGACGGTTGGAGGAAGCAGGTGTACCCGGAGAGAACCCATGGATGCTCAGGGAGGACATGCAAACTCCATGCAGAAAGGCCCTGGGCAGGGAATCGAACATTGAACCTTCTTGCTGCAATACTGAAGCTTTAAGAAAGTATTTAAGTTAAAAATTCAAGTTATTCCAGAAGCTTTAAACTCAAAAACAAATTTGTTTTTAGCACATGTCTTTGGGGTAGTCCATTCAGCACATAAACAATGCTTAAATCTAAGCAAGGCATGGGCGGGTATAGCGCTTAAGATTTTGGCATCTATAGAAAATCTTTTCACACACATAGAAGCAGTAGAAACAACAAGTATGAATAAATTTACTTTATACTTTCACTGAAAACTAGTGAAAAACTAACATTTCTAAAATCTCCAAAATGCTCTGATTGAACATTTCTGACCAGCACAATCACCAAGCTGTCTGTTTCAGTGATATGGTTGTTTATTTGTTTCACTAATACCTGATGCTGAAGGTAGCTTATTGTGATGACATAACATTTACCTTAAAATTAGCAAATAACGTTAGTTGATTATTCCGCAGATGCACGTTGATATTAAATGTTTTCCTTTGGCTGCTGCTATCTGAACACACATAGGGCAAACCTCTAATTCATTGCTGTCCATCCTACTGTGGTAGCTAAGGTATTCCTATATGGCTGACTTTAATCAGTTTCAGAGCAGAGAGTTACTTGTGGTATTCCCTGTCTGACTGAAAGGGACAAAGAAGGGGGAAGAGTTTGGGCTGCTTCCGTCCTTCTTCCATCATTCAACCTATAAAGCTAGCAGCTACACAGGGATTGGTTGGGGCAGGGGTGATGAGGCTGCAACTGCTCACAACCTTAGTACTCTCTCTAATGAGATTTATTAAAAACACAGCAGAACCAATCAAAGGAAAACTTTTTTACAGTTTTGAAACTTTATGTTTTTCATGCCAGGGTATTTCATGAAACTGGTTAATACCTAATTTAAACCATGCCATTGTTATCTTGTTTTGTTTCTGTGTTTTGTTTGGTAGGTGAACCTCTATTTCAAGGTTTATACTGTAGTCTTTTTAAGGTTTCCTTTCTGTATTGCCATATTTTTCTTTAACTTAATTTCAATTCTTGTCAAAAAATACTTTCTTGACCGCAAAGAAAATTTTTATGCTGTAACTCTTAACATTTTTTTTTCCAAGTTGTTATAGATATTAATGGCTGTATGCAGAAAGGACCTCCTTTAGTGGTGTGTCTTGCTGTGAGTCAGTTAGTCTTTGATCCAGGTGATTTTGAAGGCCTCTGCTTGTGTATTCTGACAAAGCAAATTAGGCTGAATTATATTAAATACACTGGAGAACTTAAAAAACACATCTTGCACAACACTACCTGTTGTTCACAAGCATTTTGCTAGCCTTCTTTAAATCTCTCTCTCCTTGCAGGATAAAAAATTCCCACAGATAAACACTGGAGTGGAGGATGTTGACATCCTGCTGGAACCATGTTTCAGTGAAAAAATGATACTTCATTATAGTGCATACCCTGTTAATTTGGGGCTTATTCGATTAAACAGTGTACTGAGCGAATTTAAGTAGCACTAATGCTAATTTATTTTGAACAAACAACAAAAGTTTTTTTTTTACACAATTAGCTCGAAAAGCAATGGGAGAAAGATACAAGATGTAATAGTTTCTGGTCCCTCTTATACACACCAACAAATTATTAATCTCTCCACATCAAGAGATTAATAATTATACCCCTTTCCCACTGGCCAAAAAACCTGTTTAAACCTGGGAACAATCGGCTTTTAGTGGCAATGAGAACAGCTCACAGCATGTCTTCCATGTCAAATGAATCGGCAAGCAACAGCGTTAAAACTGCCTCGGCTCTGATCGGCATGCCCTGGGAACACCAGAACCGGGGTTGACGCTTTATTTAATGTAATACCATTGAGCGCAACGTACGGACGTTGATGCACTTTGCCAGTCGCTTCTGATCTAACAAGCCAAAACAACTCTGTTTACATTCGATCAACATGGCGCAGCACAGTTAAAAGGGATTCGGACAGATAATAGAGCTAAACAATAAAGCACACTTACTATGCACTGGCTTCCTTATATGTTGGTCTCCATCGTTCATTTTCTTGATTTCTGTCACACTCGTGATAGCATCAATGCTATCCTAGCATGATGGTGTCACCTGATATGCAGCTGCAGGGGGACAGAGGTAGGTAGAGGTTAGACCCAACTTTCTTTGCCAAGGGGAAGGTTGCCGAATGCTGATTGTTAGCGGGTTGACCCATGTTTGAAAACACACGTTAACCCTCTTTCAGTGGGAAAAAGGCTTTAGAGTGCTCTCCCATTAACCTTTACATTTTCATTATTAAATGTACAGCTATCAACACACTATTAATATCCTCAGTAACATTCTTAGCCTACAATACACCCAACCTATAACATATTTTCCAATAAGCTTCTTTTTATACAGTTTTTTAAACTGGTTTATATTTGCATTTTGTTTGAGATCACTGTTTATTTATTCCATAGATCTACCCCACATCTCTAATACATGTCAAAAAGCATTTTGTTTTTTTTAAATTGTGTGGAAGTGGCTGGTTCCTTACTTACATTTAGAATTGTTTGCATGCACTTGATGTAGAGGTAAAGGGGGCTAAATATATAGTCTGAATATTACATAGGTCTTAATTTAGAATATTAATTTACTAAAGGAACACAATTCATAGATTCACTTTATTTAAATAAAGTATTGATTGTCCATGATTTCACATACACAGCAAAATAACCTTTCACTAATAAACAATGTAGGTCTTGTAGGTTTGTGTATAAGAATGAAGTCTTCATACCTTCTTGTCACAGCAGGTAAATCTTCAAACCAAGAAACAACCTCTAACTATTTAGCTCTACTTAAACAACTAGAGCGTCCGTCCTTTCTTGTATCCACCAGTGTGCATAATTATGAGTCTTTGTGCTCTACACATGCATGGGCAGCAATCCCATTACCTTAATGGAAACAATGAAGGGTTATGAGGAGGCGCCCACGGTAACCTGGTCTCCCTGGTAAAATGAATGTCTGTTGTTCATACCCTCTAATGAAAGGTTATATTTGTAAGCCATTTTTCCACGCCACTGCTTATTGTTCTAAAGAGTGAGTGACTCACCTTATTCCCTAAAATGAGTCCGATCCATCTCATCGTGGGAGGTGCTTATTGCCAATGTAATTTAAATGTCTAAAAATAATTTATGAGGTAATAGATCAGGAAATGGACATGTCAGCCCAAGAGAAGCTGTTAAACAACTACGTAGAGGTTGTTTAACAACTAGATGTTGTTTAACAGGTAAAATGCATATTTGATCAATTGTCATGTTGTCAGTGTTAGGCCGTATCTTTGAACACCAAATTCTTAAAAAATGGAATACCAGTATATAGGTACCCTCTTACTGAAGAAAGAGCCAAAAATGTATTTGCTTTTTATGCAAATTGAAAAGGAAGTACAGCTCCATTAAATTCTAGGCTTTGAAAATTTTTAGCGCATCTAAAGTTTGACTTCATACCATTTCTGTATATTCAGTATTACATGACTTTTACAGTTAAGGTGTAGTTTTAACACTTTTTAAAGACATTTAGGAACTTATCATGCCTTTCAAAATTATTAATTTTCAGCCTTTTCTTCTTCTTCAACTTTTTCATATTATAACCAAACTGATCAGTTTTTTTTTTACCAGGGTTGGTGGAAGTTAGTTGAGGACCCAAATGCAGTGATGAGGAGGGAGAGAGGAGTTCTTGTGGATTTATTGGGATGTAAATGGAAACAGAAACACAAAATACAGTAACAATAAAGAATCCAGCACTGATGAACTGCAGAGGAGGATTTTATATGGGAGACAGAACCAAGTGTTAAGTAATCAGTTAAGTGGAAGCAGGTGTGGAAAGAAGCAACTAGGGGAAAGGAACATGGCACCAGGGGACAGTAAAGAACAACAAGGGAAAACAAGGCTTAATTGTAAGTAGAAAATAATTTAAAAAAGGCTAAAGGGGAATACAACTAATGACTACAAAATAAGGATTCACCAAGGGAAAAGTTAAAGGATACGAGAAGGGACTGGAGATAACTGAAGCCATGGAAAACACAACCTTAGGATAAGAGAATAACTAACTAAAACTAGACTAAGGAATAAAGTCTTAACAAATATATTTTTTTTTATTTTGAAAAACAACTTCTCTATTCACTCTTTGTTTTTCATTAACAGGAGAACCACTGTCGCAGGATAAAAATTTTGGGGGACTGTTACTACTGCGTGTCAGGACTGACTCAACCCAAGACTGACCATGCCCACTGCTGTGTTGAAATGGGGTTGGACATGATTGACACTATAACGTGAGTTTTTCTCTAAGCTATTTTCTAATTTAATCTGTTAAGGGTTGGAAGAACCATTGTAACAATCTTATATACAGATAATTATCTCGTTATCACGAGAAAAAAGTTTTGATTTTTTTTGAGATAACGAGATGATTAACCTGTATGAGTAATGAATGAGGCCTGGATTCCCAGTTCATTCATGCCTGCGGTGCCCGTAGTTGTACAGTTGTGGTACAGCATGTACAAAAATAATCAGTTTTTTAGTTTCCTATTTCTTTTCACTCATTGTCCATTCGTGGTGGAAGATTGGATTGCATGGAATACAGTAGAAACAAATCCGACGGTCAGTGAAAATGAATGAAATGAAAATGAGTGAAAAATGAACTAATTTTGGGAGTTAATGCATCTTATACCTGTTACAGGCGTAACATTGGGGGTGACAGAACACCGGCTCTAAGACGTCGAAGGCATAGGTCTAATTGCTCATGAATAAGAAATGGAAGCAAATCATCACACCAACAACGTTGACTCATTACCTAAAAGTTGAACACATGATTATTAACAAAATTACACATAGGCTGCCATGACTTATAAATCCTCTCCGGCTGTTGTGGTATTAAAGGATGTAATCAGTTTTAACACACACTAATCATCTCATTATCACTAGAAAATGGCTTTGTTATCTTTAGATAATGATATAATTATCTTGTTTTATCGAGAAAACAACAGTGAAAAAGTATCTCAGGGATAGGACCACTCTTGGCTTCCGATCTAAATCTAAAATATCTTATTTACCCAAAAAGGCAACAAAAAAACAAAAATACAAAAAAATAGATCCTCAGAATCCACAAAAATACAGAAAACCAGAAAACTCACTTGAAGGGGAAGAAATGACAACAAACCAGCAACAGTGACTGAGCAGGAGGTGCATATGTGGGAGTGAGGACCAGGCTAATCAGCAGATTGGAAGCAGGTGTGAACAGAGGAGTCTAGAAGGGAGCTAGGGAAAAGGAGCCTGACACAAGAGGGAACAGAGGGCAAACAACAAATACCTAAGAAAAAAAATACAATGAAAAATAACCAGAATAACACAAAATGGAAATAAATATAATCAAAACTCAAAAATAATACTTAAACAGAATCAAAACCATGACAAGATATGCATTGGCAAATTGTGTTTCTATATTTGTATGTGTTTAAATTGCGGAGGAGGGAGCAGCTCTTGAAACTGGACGCTGCATGAGAAAAAAATTGTACTGTTATGCATTAATGAAACTGCATTTTCTTGTACTTTTACTGTGTAATCCTCTTTGCTGCCCCTTTCTTTATGTACCAAGCATGTATTTATTAAATATTTACTGATTATTATTAAATATTTAAAGACAATTTTCACCAATAATTTTACCAAAATTGTCCTGTGCATGGTCCTACAGGTCAGTTGCAGAGGCAACAGAAGTCAATCTGAACATGCGTGTGGGTCTACACACTGGACGAGTGCTGTGTGGAGTTCTGGGCCTCAGAAAATGGCAGTATGATGTCTGGTCAAACGACGTGACACTGGCCAATGTCATGGAAGCTGGAGGACTGCCAGGGTTAGTGTAACTATTGATATAAATATTCATCTGGATTCATACAGGCCTTAAATATTTCTAAATTTCTAAATCTTTCTAAGAAAAATCATTTTCCTTTTTTTTTACTTTGGTGTGAATTAAAACGGCAAATTTATTGAATAACAGACACAGGCTAAGTATTTGTTGTAGGATAAATAAGTTCCTTTTGTGAGCTTGGAAAAATCTTTTTTGTGTTAGATTTTATTTCTGAAGTTTATCTTTCTGTTCTAATGGTGATTAGTAATGATCTGGAATGTAATTTTAATTAACAGAGCACCCTTTATGGTGTATGGTATTAGCACAAGCTTTTTGATAATAAATGTTTGTCATTTTTTCTTTAGCTTTTATCTAAAACAGAAATGCAGCCATTATCTATACTACTGTATAGACGTTTCATTATGATATGAGTAACAATTTTTATATAGATTCTGATACAAAAACATATGCACCTGTATCAGAGGAAAGGCAAGAAAAAATAAGACAACAGACAATCAAAGAAAACATTAAGGAAATGTGGGCATCCTTTGGATATCCATGTGTGTGGAAGGCAAAACCTATGAGGATTACATATATATATACACACACACACAAACACACCCACACACATATATATATATAGCTGCAGCTTAGTATTCAGTATTAGTGTGTATAAGTAAACCTGGAACCAAACTTCTGTGGTATGTATGCATGGTAATGCTTGTCTATAAAGATTTACAAGGCTTATTCAACAGAAAAGGTTGCTCAATAGCAGATAGGGGGGGCCTCAGACTCGCCCTACATGGGCCAGGATTGACAAAGTGGTGATCCCAGCCCCAGATGTCCAGAGACGTCCAGATCACTGGGACGCAAGGAGGCCAGATATAGGGACGGCCTCACTCACCCGAGAGGTCAGACGAGAGCACCCAGGGCCCAACCCCCAAGGAGCTGAAGTGTAGTATCCAACCCCGCACCTGGAGAACCATCCGTGCGCCAGCTGTCACATGCACCTCTCACTGGTGAGGGGCATAGGGGGAGAAGATGGGCCCAAGATGTTCCAGTAGGTGGGAGGGGAGGCACTCAGCCTGACAAGTAGACAAATACAAAATCACATTCATCCAGTCACATTCACTCAATCCCACCCATACATATATACACAAGAACTCAGCAGAGACACACACAGAGAGGGAAAGACCAAAAATGTTCTTACACTCCTCATATATACACTATCCTTCCAGGTCTAAGGGCCAATCCTCCTATGGGAAACAGGCTCCAGGAGGAGATCTCCAAGCTACAGGCAGTTTGAGCTCTAAAAAGAAAAAAGAGAGAACAGCAGGTTTAGACCACTTCTAGTCCCAAACTAAGAACAGAATAATTAAGAATGGAACAGAGAGAACAGAATATTTTTAGAGTGAAGGTCACAAGAGCTGTTTCAGCAATCCAAAGCATAATGGAACTATGTGGTCCTATTTCAACCTAGTTTTAACAGAATAGGCAACATTCTGATTTTTCTTAGTTAATAAATAGGAAATGGAATGTTCATTTAGGAGTTTATTTTGATAATTTCTTTGTCCTGTTATCATGTTTTCAGACTTGCTATGTATGTTAAGCATGCCTTTTTGCATTGCAGGAAAGTTCACATCACCAGGTCAACACTTGAGTGCCTAAATGGAGACTATGAGGTGGAGCCTGGAAATGGCCATGAAAGGAATGCCTTTCTCCAAAAGCACGAAATAGAAACTTTCTTTATTGTGCCATCTCACCGACGGAAGGTATTTCCTGTTAAAAACGAATGATTAGAATTAAATAGTGCATTTTGTTTATTATTGTGGCTTTATTAGCAGGCCATTTTCTTTTTATTAAACATTAAAAACCTCTAGTGCAGCTTAGAAATCCTCTGAATCTTTTAGAGCACATTAAACTAGTGAGAATAGGTTAAACTGAAATAGCTGATTTTATCTTCATGCCAAAATGTACAAACTAACCTTCTTTCAACTTAAACTATGACTTGCACATTACACTTGTTAGATTCACTTCATGTTATCTTTTGTACTAGATTATGAAATAAAAAACATACACAGCCAGTGGCATCCTTCATCTTAAGTTTTCACAGTTGAACAAACTCTCAGGGAAAAACACATAACCCCAGCAGATGTGCCACGAGGAATTTTAATTCTCTTTTAACATCTCCAATCCTTTTGTCTTCAGCTTATCGGCCAATTTTATGTTATGAAAGAAAAGGCTTGTATGGATGTTCACAGTTTCAGAATAGTGATATTGTTTCTCTTTGCAATATAAAGCCTTCACTATGCCTTTAATGTAGCTGATGGTTTCATTTCATCAAAGAAAGGGCTCAGACAAAAAATATTGTCTAACTGCTGCTCCTGCCAGGGCAATTCTCAAACAGATCATGTACATTATGTTGCAAATGGCATTCTTCATCTAATTCTTTAAATTACATTTAATAATTTTCACTTCTCTAAAACACTCCTAAGATGAACTAAAATCCTTGTTAGATTAACCTGTCTCCGTTTAACCACTTACTTGTTAAATTCTTAGGCTCTGTAATATAGACTGTATTTTTTGTCTGTACGCTTAGTGGTTGTGCATGCGTTTTAATCGCACAGTCAAGATTGTACTGTAGAGTTTTGTGACTTAATCCTTGTTTTTCATTCTGGTGACAGATATTCCCAGGATTGATTCTTTCGGATATAAAGCCTGCCAAAAAGATGAAGTTCAAAACCGTTTGCTACTTACTGGTGCAGCTCATGCACTGCAGGAAAATGTTCAAGGCTGAGATTCCTTTCTCCAATGTCATGAACTGCGAGGATGGAGATAAGGTAAAACTGGCTTGGGTTAGCTTTTTTTTGCTTGCTCATGCTGTCATTTGTTATGCACAATTTCCTTCAAAAGGAAATTTGTACTATTTTTGTTATTTCCTTGTTCTCTAGCATCACCTGATAAAGCATCTTTTCAGTAATACCAGTTTTAAAAAAATCTACACACTATTTATATATTGAAATATAACAGATTTTGGAATATTATAACTTGATGATATCCTTAGAAATGAAAGAAATGGACCCTGATTATGAAAACCAGCACATTTGCCTGCTTTGACAACTATACTAAGAATCATATTGGATCTGCTATTAGACAACATGCAGCATTTATGCTATGATGAACATGAGTATGAAGGCGGTGGTGTTGTTTAAAGGTAAAAACAGCTGCTCTGTTCACTACTCACTTTTTTCAGCCTTGTTTTAAATGTTATGATAAGACAACTGGGTAGACTACAGTACTGCATTCATCGATGCAATTTTGAAGGATTTTTTATTTTTGTTGGTTTGTCCTATTGCAGCGGAGGGCCATGCGCACAGCTCCACAGAAGCTGAGAAACCGCTCCAATGCTAACCAGGCTAACTTGATCCAGAGTAGCCCAAGAACGAGGGTGAACCGCTACATTGGCCGGTTGATTGAGGCCCGCCAGACCGAGTCTGACACAGCAGACCTCAACTTTCTTACACTCATGTATAAGTGTTCTGAGCGAGAACAGAGGGTGAGGCCTTCAGAATACCACATAGATTAGGAGTTGTTCATCTATGTTGTATAGATAGATAGATAGATAGATAGATAGATAGATAGATAGATAGATAGATAGATAGATAGATAGATAGATAGATAGATAGATAGATAGATAGATAGATAGATAGATAGATAGATAGATAGATAGATAGATAGATAGATAGATAGATAGATAGATAGATAGATAGATAGATAGATAGATAGATAGATAGATAGATAGATAGATAGATAGATAGATAGATAGATAGATAGATAGATAGATAGATAGATAGATAGATAGATAGATAGATAGATAGATAGATAGATAGATAGATAGATAGATAGATAGATAGATAGATAGATAGATAGATAGATAGATAGATAGATAGATAGATAGATAGATAGATAGATAGATAGATAGATAGATAGATAGATAGATAGATAGATAGATAGATAGATAGATAGATAGATAGATAGATAGATAGATAGATAGATAGATAGATAGATAGATAGATAGATAGATAGATAGATAGATAGATAGATAGATAGATAGATAGATAGATAGATAGATAGATAGATATGTAGCACCCCACTACCCTGTCATGAAATAACTGAGGTCCAAATGTAAATAAACTAGTGGGGTGCCCCCTTTTTTATTTTCTTTTTGGGTTCTTTATTTTCTGGTAGATACCCTTCAGGTTTACCTTAATTCAATCCAAACTTATTCCTCTGACTGATAAGGGAAATAACTTAAATAATTCCAGACAACCTGCTACAGAAACGGTTCCGTTTAATTAAAACTCAAAAATAACATATATAGTTAATAAAAATAAATGCTCAGCCCAGACTCAGGCTACCCTCTTTTTAACCAGCAAAAAATAAAAAATAATAAAATAAACCACCTCTAGGCTCTTAACTTCTAAACCTAAATATCCCTCAAACCAATGTGAAATAAAGTTTAAACACTTTTCCTTTATCAACAATTCTTTTTTTTTTCAACTGATTAAACACTTTTTCTCCAAACCGTATTCCAAAGTTTTTGCACTAACAGTACTCCAGTCTTTTACCACAAAAGAAACACATCACTAAACACTAAACGTGGGCCCACACACACACGCACACACACACACACAGTTCGGTACCGGTTTAACTATTCGTTGCAGGCCTGTTGAAGCTAGGGTGCGTCGCAACACAAAATCCTCTTCTCCCAGAATATAACGGGAACGGACTCGCTCACCCAACAGGTGCAAAACTCTGGCAGCGCACGAAAACTCCGGTCGTCCCTCTGTCTTCTCTTCTCCACCTTAACCCAGGAGAACCTCCGCAGCAACGTTGGGGCTACGGTCGCCAGGTTGACACGGTCACCCCGCCTCCCACGATCAGCCGCAGTTTCTCTCAGTTCAGCCGCGGTTCTCGTCTCTGGTTCTTCACCTCCGTCGCGCCCCAACACACACCTCAGAAGTCATAGACTGCGATGGTTGAGTCCACTTGTGGGAAAAACCCTGGAACAGTTCGGGGCCTTCTCCAAACTCGTTTTTGACTCTCCTAAACTGAGTCTCCATCAGCGTCCACCATTCTCTTTCTTTTTCCCTTTCTCCTCTCCTTCTTCCCATCATCCCACTGTCTGCTTTTTTTTTTTCACTCCAAGATGAGTTCACTTGTCCCTCAGTTTTTTTACTACTTCCATAGTCTTAAGACTAATAAGAATCCAGTCAGACAAACAACATTACACATATGTAAATACACATGTTTTGTTCAGAAATGCTTTTTTTCTTTTTTTTTTCACATTATGAATAAAAATAATCAGTCACGATAAGTATATAATCACTCAGATTACACATTGAAAACAGAAAACCTGAAAGCAACAATACATGACTCTCACCTGTATTTTTTAATACAGAGAACATAAACCTGTGATTATCTTGTAGATAATTTTTTTTTTTTTGTTTTTTTTTTTTTTTTAGCCAGGGCTACAGATAGATAGATAGATAGATAGATAGATAGATAGATAGATAGATAGATAGATAGATAGATAGATAGATAGATAGATAGATAGATAGATAGATAGATAGATAGATAGATAGATAGATAGATAGATAGATAGATAGATAGATAGATAGATAGATAGATTCAGGAAAAAAAAAATTCAGGAACAACTAAAACTAAACAATTTACTGTGCTTCTCTGGTTTTTCACATTAGTACCACCAGGTTCCAGATGAGTACTTCACCAGTGCAGTTGTTGTCTCTTTGATCTTAGCGGCCTTGTTTGGAATTGTTTATCTTCTTATCATACCACAGTATGTACATCAAATAATATTTTTTTTCTGATGACATTTTCTGATGGATTTTCTATCATTAACTTTGCTTCTCTGTTTTATTTTTTGTTGAACTCAGGGGCAAAGTTGTACTTGTGCTTCTCGTCTTCTGCATCTGTTTCCTCGTAGCTTGTATTATGTACCTGCATATCACTAGAGTGCAGGTAAGCGCAGGTCTTGATATTATTACCACATAGAAAAAAATAAACCTTTCAATCAAATGTTATAAATATATTAAGGCTCTCTTGCAAAAGTATTCATACCTTTTGATTTTGAATTGTTTTATAGAGCATACATTTTATAATGCATTGTTTTTCATGGAGTCTAAATTGGCCAGACAACAGAAAGAAATTTTGAATGTTCATATATTTATTCAACAAACTTCAACCTAATGGCTCAAAAAAGGAAAAAAGAAAACACAAAAAGACATTCATAATAAGTAAATGTGGTCAAATGTTTCTATTTCATCTTATAATAAATTTTGTTGAGCTGTGAATATCTTTAAAGATGTGAGAGAACATTGGTAAACCAGAAGCATCATGAAGATCAAGTATTAATGTAGACATCTCAAATCTGTTTACTAACAGTGGCAATCAACAACGCAGCATCTCAAGGCAATTTACAGAGTTAATTCAGTCAATCGTGCAGACAGATTTATTATTACTTTTCTATCTAAAGAAATAGTATATCACATGGAGTCTCTGCCTTGCAGAATTTATTCCTCCTAGCTGAAAAAACATAGGATAGAGAAAAAAAAACCTTTTTTTGAAAGAAATTTCCTGCAACACCAGCATTGCAGGAATTTTGCAGGAAGTTGCCATGACAAACTATCAACTATCAACAAACTTTACATTGCCCTATATATATAGGATAACATAATTCTGCAACCCCCCACCCCTCCAATACAGCTGAACAGAACACCAGGACAGTTTAGGTTTTCAAAATGACTTTTTTAGCATCATTAAGTGATGAGATGATAAGCCGGCCACCTTTACTCTGGAGAGGATGTTGAGTTCCTCTTCTCTTTTGGAGGAGTATGTAAAATGAACTGTTGGTCATTTAGTATTAAATTGGGTTTTAAGAACAGCAGGAAACTATTGTTTGAAAAATGGTTCCCATAATCTCTGTAGTGCACTGTGCACTCAACAAGCAAACAACACTTTTCCAACACTTTAGCAAACATTTAAAACAATGATTACTCTACAAAAAAAGTAAAAAAATAAAAAAAATAATCCACTGGATTATTTGTTTCCAAGTTTGAAGACGTTTCGTTTCCCATCCAGGAAGCTTTTTTTTTTTTATTTAGAATGTCAGAAATAGTGTTGAGTTTGAGGCTTTATAGAGCGGACCAAACAAAGCCTTGTTTTGGCTTAAAAAAACATGCTAAATGAAACCTACAATGCATAGTTGATTCCTTCCTGCTATCATCACAACCCCCACCCCCATACAGGCAACCAGTATATCTTGCCTGTTCAGCCAAGCCAACAATTTCCCCTAACGATCCCCCTTTCAGAGACATAGACCAGCATTGGGTATTGCAGGCTAACAAAGAAACCAAACAACTGCCCATTCCTAAGGGCCGGACCTGTTTGTCCAGTTCAGTTTGAATGTTTTCTAAGCCAGAAAAAAAGCTTTGTTTGGTCCACTCTATAAAGCCTCGAACGCAATGCTATTTCTGACATTTTTAATTGAAAAAACTTCCTGGAAAAGAACAGAAAGGTCTTCAAACTTGGAAACAAAGTCCAGTGATTTGTGTTTTTTAACATTTCTGAAATGATTATGACCTGAATGACTGAGAATCTTCACCAGAAATAATGACTTTGTACTGAAAACACTATTGCACCTATTACATTAAATCATAATATTAAATCACAATGGAAAGGTTCATATTAGACATAGTTACTTTCTAGTCAAAGGCCAAACTTATGTTCAATTTCAAATGTGTTACATTGCTTAAAAGATTTTAGAGTAACATACTGTATGTTCTACATCCAATCTGTCTAGGCATTTAGCTATTTTAAAAAACAAGGGCAAATATTTCACTCTAGATGTTTAAAGCAAATAGAAACATACACATAAACCCCTGCAGCTATACTTGCATTAAAAGGTATTGATAAAGAGAATTACATACAAATGTGCACCATACTTTTAAAAGTATTGTTCAAAAGAATAATTTTGTGTTGGTCCATCACATAGAATTCAAATAAAATCTGTTTTAATTAGCCAAGATAGTCCCAACAAGATTTATAAAAATATATATTTTTCAAATTGGTTCAGTTTATTTAAAAGTTTTCTGAAGCAAGTTCCAAGAGGAGGGAGATGAGTGAACTAAAGCCTTCTTTCCCAGTTCAGACAGAGAAAGAAGCAGCAAACTGTGTGGGCAAAATGTATACAAGTTGACATTTCTGGGTGCAATTACACTCAGGAATGGAGTGTGTGAGGCTAGGATGATAAAATGTAAGAAATAAAAAGCAGAGTATGAATACTGTTGCAAAACAATGTATACTGTTTTATGCTCTATTGATTTATAAGGCTTTCTCATGTCTCTTGTCCTATGTAATGTTAGTTTCCCACTCATGTCCTTTTACTACTCAATTACAAGGAGATTTTAAAATTAGAAACTTTTATGGACTTATAAAATATATATAAACATTCCAATTTTTCTGGTGATGTCTAAACCTCCTTTTCTTCTTTTTGTCATTCAGTGTTTTCCAGGGTGCCTGACCATTCAGATTCGAACTGCTCTCAGTATTCTTATAGTGCTTTTAATCTACGCTGTGGCCCAGGCATGTGTGGTAAGTCATAAAAGAAACATTAAAATATGTGATGTTAGAATTTAGCTGTATTCTACTTTAGTTGTTTTACCTAAGCTGCTATTAATCCTGAATATCTATTACAGCTTTTAGGAAAACACAAGCAGGTCTTTAACCTCACTTTAAGGGAATACCTTGCTTACTTTAACAAGAATTGGCCAAGCCTTATTTTCACATTTTGAAAAGTGAATCAGCGTGCATCGGACATCTATGTTGTTATGCCATAGATATTTCTGGTATGTTATTTTATATTTTACATATTTATACACTTGCTTGTTCCCATATTCTTTTTACAGGTAGGCTGTATGCCCTGGATGTGGGGAAGTGCCAAGACAAGCAGTTCCATTGTCATCATTGATGTGGACAGTGGAACCAACCGCACCATGGCAGAGCTGCCCTGCGATGGGGCACATTATGCCTTTCTTTCCTGTGTAGTGGGTACCCTCACCTTGGCACTTTTCCTGCGTGTCTCCTGGTTGCCAAAGATGGCGCTGATGCTCCTTTTGGGGGTGCTGTACATCACTGTGTTGGAACTCAGTGGCTTTCGCAAGACTTCAGGGTGAGGTTTAAAATATCTCATACACCCAACAGAAGCAAACATTTTCAGTTCTTATCATTGTGAAGTGGGTGAAGTTTCAGGTAAATGTAGACTATTCTGTCTACACTTACAGTCACTTCATATCACTGCAGAAAATATAACTTTTCTGGGCTTGCATTCATGTTCTATTTAAGACAGAAACAAAGACTTGAGAATTAACTTATGTCTAAAGACTTAAGATTTATTTCGATCTTTTGATACTCGTTAACAATCCTAATGTAACCGTTTCTTAAAGCAAGCTGGTAGCATATGTGAGCGACAGACAGCTGAGGTGCTACTGACACACATTTTATTGGGAAAGAGTGGTTTAAAGGCACACATAACTTTTGGTCACTAGGGGCACTAGATCTGTAACTGCCTGTATTTTGCTTCTACTAAACATCGAAAATAATAACAAAGATATATGAGTATATAATAGAAGCAAAGTGTTAACTTACCATTCTAATAATACAAACAAACTCCTTTCCAACATTGACTCTATTTTTTCCTCAGGCACGATCCCTTTCACATTTTCAGTTTTTAGCCTCCTCAGAAGGCTTAAACTTTTTCCTTGCCTCGACCATAACCAATAGTAGAGCAGTGTGGTAGGAATTATGCTTTATCAGTCCTGAAATCATTTTCAAGGAGTAAAATAATAAATGGTAAAGGACTGATATATATTTCTTTGTTATCTATGTGTTGAATTAGTAATTCTTCACCTACAGTTTAACAATTTAATAGCCAAAATGAATGGCATGTACTTGGTAAGAAAATGCTTGTTTTAGTCAATAAAGAATTTACCTTTTTTTATTCAGGTGAACTCCCTGAGATCCACAATCTCCTTTTTTTAAGAGATCCTTCTCAAATAGCTGTGAATCCCTAGAGAATGTACTCATTAACATCCAGCAATACACAGGGAGCTCAATTGAGAATACTGGCCCTTGGAGTTGTATGGGTCATTCTATCATCACATCACTGTAAATGCTAAGTACTAATTTTTGTTTGTTCAGTTCAGGAAGCGAACAGATAAACAAGAGTTGCAAGAGCATTTACAGTCCGCTCGCTATGATGTATGTGTGTAGAGGAGTTTTTGCTTGTCTTCAGCCCACACACTCTTTCATTTTCCACCCTTTGAAGAAGCACACATGCTTATTAGTTCCAAATCAGAAGCCTGAAAGGACAATGTGGGTTGGATGATTGGACTACGTTAGCTCAGAGTGGAGGGGCTGGGATGGTATTATTGGAACTTGATCAGAAACATTCTTCAGAAATCTCTGCTTTGTGTTTAGAATTCTGTTCTTTTTTAGAATAATGCATATTGTTGATATGCATCAGTTATAAACATTAAAAAGTGTCTAGGTGACATACTTTAGAACGATTCTATTAGTAGAGTCAAATTAATCCTATATTATGATCTCCCTCCTAGCACTGTGGTGGGTCCAGGCAGCCCTCCTGAGTTGTTTTCTTTGTGGTTTCTGTTCTTATTGCTGACTTCTGTGTTGGTCTCATCCACAGTGGGGGGTCCTTTTACATCCGGAGCTACGAGCCCATCCTGTCTCTTTTGCTCTTTGTCAGTGCCCTGGCCCTCCACTCCAGGCAACTTGACCTCAAGCTGCGTTTGGACTTCCTCTGGGCTGTCCAGGTCTGGAAAAGTATACTGACATGTCTGTGAGTGTGTGAAATGTTGTGGAAGTTTTGAGAAATAAATAGTTGAATGTTATAAAAAAATCAAAACATAATCAAAAGATTTTTGACAATTAGAAATTTTTTATACTGGATAAAGTGAGGGGAATGTAACGCTACCAAGTTCTTTGGCAAAAACAAGAGTTAGAAGACTGGAACGACCCCATGTCATTTGCATACCTTTATACATGGAGCTATGTTTATTTCATATCATGTAATTTGAATGTAAAAATTGTAAGACTTAAATAATTGTTTACATCTCTAACTAGCTTCCAAATGACTCTAGGGCTCATCTGTGAAGGCTTTTTACTGACTCCATGTGGTGAAGATGTGAAACAGACTTAGGCATTCACTATTTCATTTTTTTTTCTGTTTGTTTGTTTTTCTTTATTTATGTGCTGCCAGGCAGAGGAAGAACGGGATGGAATGGAGAAAGTAAAGTTGGACAACAGGAGGATCCTATTCAATCTTCTGCCTGCCCATGTGGCTCAGCACTTCTTAATGTCAAACCCCAGAAACATGGTGAGCCATGCTAATAAACAGGCAAGCAGGCAGACTGACCAACAGGTAGAGCAAAAAGGGAGGGAACAAAACTAATTAGGAAGATGTAAATGGACATCTCTTTTTCTTTTACAGTGTTTTGCTTTTTTTTTTTTTTTTTACCAGGACCTGTACTATCAGTCCTATGCTCAAGTCGGTGTCCTGTTTGCCTCAATTCCAAACTTCAATGATTTCTACATTGAACTAGATGGCAATAACATGGGTGTGGAGTGCCTGAGGCTGCTAAATGAAATTATTGCTGACTTTGATGAGGTCTGTTTCTGCTTTGATGTTTTACCAGATTTTGTATCTTGAATGTATTTTACATCCCAACATTTGTTGTTCCACTGTATTATACAGCTCATGGACAAGGAGTGCTACAAAGACATTGAGAAAATCAAAACTATTGGCAGCACCTACATGGCAGCTGTGGGGCTTGTTCCCACCATTGGCACCAAGGTTTACCTATTTTTCTTTGTTTAGTATTGTGGGGTTTTTTTTGGTTTTTTTTGCTGAATGTTAAAGTAATGTTCAAGGCTTTTAATAGAAAAGTTCTACGCATCCATTATAAGATTTAGTCACATCACTGCAGTGTAATCAGACTATGTCAGTAAATTGATAAAAATGCAAAAATGAAGTCACTGCATTTCTACAAAGGGCAATTATTGCCCTCTGCAGCTAGTTTCCTAGCTAAACAGCATCTGTATTTCTGCATAAAACCATGTTAGCAAAGAGTGATGGCCTCATTCCTATACAGAGAGGCTTGGAAAAGCACACCTGTTTTTTAAGCTAAGCAAATTAAACCTGATAGCAAAATCCAAACATTTATCCTGGTCTTAGCAGACTGATGAGTGGAATTAATACAGCCAAGTATTCCACAAAACACATTTATTTAAAGCTAATTTGCATTTGACAAATCAATGAAAATAAGGTTCCTGTCAATTAGCTATTATCTTTCTATCATGACATCATTCTACAATATGTATGATCATAACTGTATTGAACTTTTCTTTAAATTACTACTGGGGAAACATTTTTGTGTAGGTCCTGACCATTTCCCTGTTCTACAGGCAAAAAAATCAATTTATGACCATCTGAGCACAATCGCGGACTATGCCATAGAAATGTTTGATGTGTTGGATGAGATCAACTACCAGTCGTACAACGAATTTGTCCTCCGAGTGGGTAAGTGGGCCTGCAGAATGAAATCTAATTTGAAGAGGGATTGCTCAGGTAAATTATGCTTATGCAATGTATGTTTTCAATATTCATCTGAACAGGCATCAACGTAGGCCCGGTAGTTGCAGGGGTGATTGGAGCACGTCGACCGCAGTATGATATCTGGGGCAATACAGTGAATGTGGCCAGTCGGATGGACAGCACTGGTGTTCCAGGAAAAATTCAGGTAGTTAAAACACTTCCAGTTACAACTGATCCAGTTTTTAAGCTTGTTTCTATGATGCACTATTGGATTGCTAAAGTCAAATGTAAACCTTGAATATAGCCACCAGTTTTAGGTAGTTATTACTGAACTAGATAAAAGCTGAATCATATTTAAGAAAAGTGTAGCTGTCAGAAAAAAAAACATGCTTGGATAATTTAAAAGAAATGTTGAAGCCAAATCTTTATTTTCCAGGTGACTGAGGAGGTGTATCGTATGCTGAATAGAAACTATGACTTAGTCTGCCGTGGCAAAGTCAGTGTTAAAGGTAAAGGGGAGATGCTTACATACTTTCTGGAAGGTAAAGTGCAGGGCATTGGCACTGCAAGCACTTCATCGGTGATACGTTCCACTAGCCTGGCACGCCGTATCCATTCCTGTGGCAAGACAAGCGTTCCGACCCATCTGGGCAGCGTCTCCTCGCCTGCCAGCGTGACTGCTCATTCCAGCACGGGTGAAAACTTTCAGATGAGCACTGCCAATATCAGCAACAGCCAAACAACATGCCTCCCCTCACCCTGCGTGCCTGGGCTGGGCAAAGTGGAAAAAAAGGACAATGTAGAGGAGACAGAGGTTCAAATTGATGCTGTGGTAGCTATTGCAGATGTAGCAGTGTAGGCGGAACAACAACAGCTTCGATTCCAGCAGGAAAACACGGAGAAGTCAGGGCTGTCCGAAAAATTCGCATAAATCCTGAGATACTGGTTCAACCAGGATGATTTTAATCAGGATAAAAACTTCCTGAGGTATTACAAGCTGAAACTGACAATCACTCTTGCTTTCAGAGATTTTCTTAAATGTTTGCCTCTATTCAGAGTGGAGATGTGAAGAGAAGGAAGATGCACCCAGCTTCCGAATCCTCTCTGCACATCGCTATTCCAGATAATTTATTTTGTGGTGTTCTCGGGTTCATGTGCAGATATATCCAGGTAACATGTTTAACCTTGTTTTATATGAAGTGCATATTTTCATCTACGAGGAATGTGTACGTTGATACCCAGAAAAAAAGACTAATGAATTTGCTTTTGCACTGTCTTTCTGATTATGCCAAGGATATATTGCATTATTTACAGTAAATTTATATTTTGGTGTATGAAAGCATGCATGTTTATAATTATAAGTGTGTGTATGCATGTGTGTTCCATTTTAAACTGTAAAAAAAAAGACAGCACAAAATCCTTTTTTATATTCACTTCTCGCTCAATAACTAGCTTTTTACAAAATAAAGTAAACAGTTTGTCTTAGTGCATGACTTTATAAAAGTTGAGAGCCATAAGTAAAGAGACTCTGCTTGAAAGAAAACCCAAAGTAATGATTTTGTTTTATAAATTTCACAGAAATGGGATATTGCACCTGTTCTTTTCATAAATTATTAACCAATTTTAAAAAGTGTCTTGTCTTTATATGACCATGATTCACAGAGTCTAAAGTAAACGTTATATGTATACAAACAGTATACAAGGATTATGGCTATTTTGATGGTGAGTATGGACTAAAGAAGCTAGGAGGAGGGTGAGAAATCAGTTGAATGTTGAATGCATGCTGCTACAGAAGCTAGTTCATGCCAAAATGAAAGGGTCAACTAAAACAGCACCACACAGGGCACCAATAAGGTCCTGCATTTGTGTCTTGCACATGAACATACTGTAAGATTTAACTGTACCCCTTGAACATTTCCATGTCTTGCCAAAAAAATTACCACATGCTTTCTTTTTTATTAAGAAATATTTTTTATTTAATTGGTAAAATCATATAGTACTAACTAAAATTTGAGCAATGATTGTGAAGTTGGGAGGACACAGTTTTTCATTGCTTTAAAATAAAAGTTTGAATTGTGCATTTATATTCCGCGCCCTGAGTCAGTACCCTGGTATGTCTGCACCATTTTTAACCATTCTTTGCAAAATTACTGCTGCACATGTTTACTTGGATTTTGGTCTAAACTTGGAATGGACTATTTTAACTAATACATTAGCTTCTATTTAAGCCTTATCAGTTGAGTCTGTATGATTAGTATAATTTTCTTGATGAAATCTAGACCTCATTCCTAACCTGAAGAAAGCTTCTAGATAAGGTTTTCTTCCAGAAATCAACTTCCATCTTTTTTTCTGTCTGATGAGCTCTCCTGTTTCTGCTAAAGAAGAGCATCCCACTGCATTATACTGTTACCACCATACAATACATTGGTTAATTTTCATTGTTAGGATATTTCATTTTTAAAATGTTAGTTCTGTGCCACACGATTAAGAGCGCTATCTTCCACATCTTAGCTGTGTCCCTCACATTGCCTGCAGCATACGTTTACTGGGACTCCCCATGGCCTGCTTTTAGCAAGGATTTTCCTCTTACTACTTTCAGTAAAGCAAATTTATGTGAAGCTCACCACTAAGAGCTCTACCTTCCACTTCAATATCTGCAGCTCCTTAAGGTTTACCACCGGCCTCTTGGCTTAGTTAGTTACCTTCTTGCGCAGCCATTCCGTTTATCTAGGTAAAATTGGTTGTGTAATTCTCTTTCCATTTTTTGAAACATGGACTGAGAATAGCACCAGCATGCTTTTTATAATTTAGCCCTTCTTTATACTTCTCCATAACCTTATGGCTGACCTGTATGCTGCATTTCTCAGTCACCATGTTGCTGTTTACTGACTGATTGTTTCTAACAAACCTCTGAGGCATTCCGCATGACATAATGGGAAAATCCAAGGGGTACTTCTACTTTTGCAAGGCACTGTGGCCTAAAGGGGTAAGGATGCTATTCATCTATGAAAAACGGAGCACCTACATGGTAATAAGCACACCATTTCCATAAATGCATGACCTTTAAGTGTTTAAATGCTCAGTCTGTGTACATTCACTTATTTTCTTGAAGCTGCAGAAACTTTGGTGCCGTGTCTATAGCTGCTATTGTTTTTCAGGCTTATACATTACTGCACTACTGCTTTTTGAATATATCAATGCTACAGTTTGAGAATAACATTAAGTACATATCTCTCAGATACATTTTAATAAATATGAGGCATGTCAGATATCTTTATAGTCTGTATCTTTAAGTGCAAAGACATTTTGACTTGATATGGAGAAGTGTGAATACACCACGTTTCAAGTTTTTTGCCTTACTCAGTAAGCTTACAGTGATTGCAAATGGCCTTTTTAGATTTATCTACTTTGATATGCAGATCATTACCTTTTTGTAAATAGCCAAAAGCTGTAAACTATGTTGTATCATGTACAGTGTAAAATTAAGTTATTGAATATTTTGTAATAAAGGCAATATTGGTGTATAAAATATCAGTGTGCTTCATCACAGAAACAATTATTGCTGTGTAGCTTGATCAAACGAAAATGTTTTACCCTAAGTATTGTAAATTGTGAACCTTCTTCATTCTTTTAAGGACACTTTTCTGTATAATGTAATTGCATTTACATTCTCAAACAGTATTTACTCGCTACCCTCACAGTAACTGAACACCACATTTAACAAACACATTTCTGGATCTCCCCTTGTTAGATATATCAAAGGGATTTTCATTCTACCCATTAAATTTATTTCATGCAAATGATCTTAAAATAACTGTTTCCTAGACTATAACCATTTTTGGAAAGCTCACAGCCAAATAACTATCGCCGTGTCTTAAACTCTGAGCGGCAGCCAAAAATTGTTTTCCCAGCACTGATGCAGAGTTTGTGTGGAGTTCACTCTATGTAACAGTTAAGTCAACAAACACCTCTCTTGTGCAATATTTTGACAGATAGTACGGCATAGGAGTTGTTATTGCTTTGCAGGGGATTCTGGTCAGTCGTTAATGACCTGCAGCCCAATCTGAGGAGGATGCTTGTTGACTGAGGTCTTACTTATCATGAAGCAGCCACAAAGTGCAGTAGTTAAAAGTGATTCAGAATAATCTGGAGAAAACAAAGTAAATGACGGTCAAGAAATAAAGTTCTCTGTTATGTCTTTAAAAAAATCAACAGTGAATAAGTAAGTCACAGCATTGTTGTTCTAAGTGCTTTATGAATCAATGTTGGCGACACCTCGCAAAATCTGGATTAATTGGTTCGGTATTGGTTTGAATATATGGTTTTTATAGATCCGTTTTCTACACTTTCTTAAGCTTTATAATTATGAATCAATGTTAGTTACACCTCACATTATCTGGACTAATTGGTTCTGTATTGGGTTGAATATATGATTTTTATATAATCATTTTCTATGCTTTCTTAAGCTTTATAAGGCTACATGTAGGCTACAAAGGTTGTAAACAGCCAGGAAGTCGGGAGTTATACCCCTTTAATGCAATCTCTGTCAAATTAAATCTCTGAGACTAAACACATTAGTCAATACTTATGGGGTGATTCACAGTATTACCTACTTATGTGTGAAAAACAAGGTTGTGGATAAATTTGAACCAGAATTTCTATAACATTTTACTCATCTCTTTCAGATCACCTAATCGGTGAGAATATAGACAAATGTTAATGACTTAAAGAGACATGCATAACTTTAGTAACAAGAATATCATCTGTCAGAGTAGTTGCAATATCATTATCCATGGTTACTCTGGAGGAGCTGCAGTATTCTACTGCCCAGGTAGAATCTAATCAAAACAATTTGGTAAGATATTTTGATAACTTAAAAATAGAAGCTTGTAGAAATAGAAGGAAAGTAGGAACACCAGCTGATCTAAACCAAACTAGACATAAGGTTAATCAAGTTATTTCAAGCAGGGTGTTTGGTATGGAAATACTGCCAGAAAGACAGATTTCAGATAAATGGATGGATGGGGAACATAACATTCACAATAAATCTTAATTCAAACCTAAAGACAAGTAAAGAATCCTTAAATAGTATTTAAATTAGCAGCCGTGAAATTTTGGGGACTCAAGGTGAGTTAACATGGCAGTAACCCTCTGTTCTTGGTCATACTTTGTCTAACAATAATTATTAGTCTACTGTATCTATCAGGCATGTTCCTCAGGGTCTTTGAATTTAAATCCTCAAGGGCCAGTGTCCTGCAGCTTTTAGATGTATCTTTACTTCAACACATACACCTGACTCCAATATGTGCTCATTAACAGAGCTCAGCAAGTTGTCTGCAGGACAAGTATGTTGTTTAGCTGCATAGCACAAAACTAATAAACAAAATGAGAAAGCAGGAGAATATTAAGTAGTTTAGCTTTTTGATTCAGGTTTGTACGGCAAGGGACATGCCTGATAGTGGCAGGACACCACTTCTTAAAGATCTAAGTTTGAGACCACTGCTCTAAACTGACATGAAGCCAAGTCAGTCTACTGAAAATAAGATGCTGACTGCCCACGACATGTGCGGAACCTCAGAATAATCCAGCCATCCCTTAAATTTCCTCTATGATTAGTTACCATCCTCACTGTCCAATTTATCAGAACACGTGTCAAAAATAGCTAAAAAGCATATCACATGGAAGCCATTTCATGCATTTCTGCATCTTGACACAGAAGGCAATTTTTTGGAGTTTAAACAGACCATCAAAATGTGGAAGAAAGAGGATTAAGGTGACTTTGAACATTGTAAGATTGTTGGTGCCAGATGGGTTGGTCAGCATATTTTAGAAGCTGCTGGGTTTAGATTTTTTTCTTCTATGTTTTAGCTGGAGAGACCTTTAAGAATCTCACTGCTGAGGCAAAGAATCTTGTTAATTACCCACACCTGATTGCAGTAGTTAGCTAATAAGCACCACCTTGCTCCTTTTTAGTGTGTTAAGTTTACCAGCTTACAGCTTTGCAACACAAAAAGCAGCACTCATAGATCAGGTTGGTTGTTTTTCTGTGTTTTTGATGTAATATGAATGGAGAAGATGGATAGTGTACAAATTCTGGAGACAATTCAAGAGGAGTCAGAGCAAGAAGATGAAACAGTGGGAAGTAGCAAAGCAATAAAAGAACAAGAGGAGGAGGGAGAAGATGGCAAGTTAGAAACTCCAGTGGGTGTAGAAACCGAGGAGCTACTGGCAGAAAATGAAAGGGCAGAAGATGATGTTCCACTAAAGGTTCTGAGACCAGGGCGGCGTTCTGGTTCTATGAGACAGAAAAGTTCTATTCAAGGTCAATTCAGAGAACAGAGGAAAGAAACTGGAAGCACATTAGTGTTAAATGCAAGTGCCCATTCTACTACATGTGAAGCAGCTGAACCCATGTCAGTATTTGAGAATAAGAGACGATTTAGTGAAAAACTAAAAATGAAGGTAAGAAAAATGAAACTCTTTATATTTCTGATGTTTGACTTTTTAGCTTTTCTTATAAATATATTTTCTTCAAGGTTTCCAAGATTAACAAGCAGAAACAAAGGGGATCAGATCAACCAAAGAAGAAGAAAAAAAGGTCAAACCATATGCAGGTGGTGGCCATTAGTTTTGTTCTTTGTTAGTCAAGATAACTTGCCACTTACGAGCTCTTTCTGACCTTTTTTTTGTTTCTTTTTTTGAAGCAGGAGCCTTTTCCTCAGTGGTTAGTGAACCTGATGGTCAACATTGAAGAGGCGACAACTCACCAGCTCGTGGTTGAGTAATATCTATCCTATTAGGTTTAGATAAATCATGTTGGGAAAACGGATGCAGAATAGAACTGCATTTTTGACTGGAAATGTTTAACTTTATTTTTTTTTTTTCATCATCAGATGCATTATATATATGCACATTACTAAGCATTCGCTAGATTCCTAATGATTGGTTGATACTAGTTGTTTTTATTGTTGTAACCAACTCACAATTAAACAGAGTAAAAATAAAGGCTTTCGTTGTATAGATTTTTTTGTCTTATTCACCACAGGTTGGTAAACACTTCCTCTGCAACTAGTTATCAAAACACATTCTAACTTGTATTTATGAAATTTTGTACATTGCAACTCAAATTTGTAAAAAGGCAATGTTGTGTAATCTGTAGGATTGCAAATGTCTGTGGTTCTTAGATACTTCATAGAAGACATTTCTAAAGTTTAGAACAATATTTTTGTTAAAAACCCTGGGTCAGCAATAGATCATGGTGGCTACAAGCCTCACCCTAAAACCAGACATGGGGAACCTGCTCATCGAAGACCAATTGATAGTTTGGTCTCAAGGTTGATCCCCTGACTTGCCTGTAGGTTGGGCTGAATCAGATTAAAAGGGCATCTAATTTGTGAACAATTGTGTCTGAACCTTCACCTATTTCTTGTTGAATTGTGTCACAAGCGGAGAAGAAAATAATTTAGCCTTAAAACATTGTAGCATTTAAAACTATTCCACAAAAGAAATGCTAGATATTTATTTGCCCTGCAATCTTACTGTGTTTCTTACTGTTTTTTTCTCCTGCTTAGAAGTCCTGGCCTTTCTCTTCTGGTAGTGATGATGAGATAAGGCCTCCTGAGGCATTAATCTGTTTGCCCAAATTGCTTAATGATCCCCACAGTTCATGAGGCTTCATGTGAACATCTCACCACCTACTGGTGGAGTGCATCACTACAGTTGATAACAGATCTGAGCATTTTTTTCTGCAATTTCTTATTTTGTTTTCCCATTTAGGTTCCTTTGAAATTGTTAATAGGTGGTAAGTATAATGTATCGTAAGTTGCACTGTTCTGCCATTTTAGTGAACTAAGCTCAAACTGACAGTAAAAATGCTTGTGCAAATTGGGCAACGGTGAGCAAAATGAAAGGTGTTAGTCAATGTTGTTCAAACATAGTTTTTCCAGTTTTTGGTTTTAATCGGGTTGGAAGTTATTTGTTCAAACAATCTTTTAGCTAAACCAACCAATCTAATTTGGCAGTATTTTTACCCAATCTATATTTGTACTAGTGCAAACCAACTTTCAAAAGGCTACGATGGCACTCGAATCGACAACCTTAGAACCTCACATTTTGATAATTACATTGTTTGATCTAACAGCTTAAACCAACTAAATTTGTTGTTTTTCCAGCCAATTTATCCTTAGAATATATCCAAATTCTACCACATGACAGCAACTCTCCTCTTAACTATTAACTACAAGTAAAGTTCTCCCACGGTCCAAACCAGTGAGGCTGCGGACGTCATCAATTTTGTCCCCTCCCCTAAATGAATCAAGCCTTGACATTCGCCTCGGGGAAACGCTCCCATTTCTCGACACGCGCCTCGAAGCCTTAGCTCATCTCATAACATCACTACCTCCTGGGTTCCTCATTTTCTGTAAACACTGGCACTTCATTGGTTCCGACGTTTCACTGCACCTCCAAGCAACTTTTTTTTTTTTTTTTTTTTTTTTTTTTTTTTTTTTTACTTTAGACACCAAATGTTGGTGAAGATTCTCAGTCCTCCATGTCAGTCATTCCCAAAAAAGTTGAAAAACAATCCACTGGAGTTTGTTTCCAAGTTTGAAGACGTTTGGCTTCCCATCCAGGAAGCTTTTTCAATTCAAATGTCAGGAAAAGCATTGAATTCAAGGTTTTATACAGTAGTTCAACAAAGCCTTGTTTTTGTTTTGAAAACATGCAAATGCAATGGATGAATGGGGGTTGTTTGGCTTCTTTTGTTAGCCTGCAATGCCCCATACCCATTTAAGTATTTAAAGGGGGGTTGTTAAAGGGGATTGTTGGCCTGGCTGAATAGGTCTTCTGCTCCCCTTTTAGAGGGGTTGGGGTTGCAATGACGGCGGGAAGGGATTAACTCAATTGCTGCATTGTAGGTTTTTGAAAGCTGAACTCTGAGTCCAAGCCCTCTGTGTAAGGTTGGTTTTTCTGTCTTAACGTAGCGTCATTTTTTCTACTTTCAGAACACAGATTTTCTTTGTCCAAAATGTGAACATTCTGGTGCACAAAAGAATTTTTGCATCTGTGGAGAGGTTGTTTGGTTCCTCCAATATAAAGATCAGAGCATTCCTCACTGCATTGAACTGCATACACCACTCTGCTCATATTTGGTCTGGGGGTTTTGCCCTTAGGATGCACTAGCCTCTAAGGGTCACGTTAGGTTTAAAATGTACTGGGAATCCAAGCTTTTTCACTTCTTTTGAAATGGAAAAAGCTTCCTGGGTAGGAAACGGAACATCTTCAAACCTGGAAAACAAAGCTCAGTGGTTTAACTTTTTTGGAATCCCATTCTTTGCAAGATTATTTCTTAGTATACCTCTTAGGAAACTGAAACGTTCATTGCTTTTAGTGCTTTAGAGTGGCAAAAAAGCAGTTTAAACCATTACATTTCATTCTAAAAACTGCACTTCAAGTTGATAAACCCAAGTTGCCTCTAAACCATTTTGTATTACCTATTGATGATAAAGTGTAGCGCTTTCTTTAAGACAGAGTGAACACATTTCATTGTATTCTTGCAGAAGTTGGTTTTTGCTAGCAGTACAGTTATGAATGTCATTCTGCACAACGGCTTTTGTGTTCTGAGTTTTTATGGACAGTACTGTAGAAATACAATGTTTTCTGTGGGCCAAAGCAGGTTATCTGACTAACTATATAAGTACCTTTCTTATCAGTGATTTAATCAGTAAATTTCTGTTAAGGTATTTGAACTAATACTTTACACACCTCTGCTGGTACTAAGAAAAACTGTAATTGAAATGTTTGCTAAAGGAGTGGAATGGAGCAGAGTGCTTAGCTGGAGCTGGTGGAAAAGAGGCAATATAAAATCTAATAGAAAAGCGACAATATTGCCACCTGTTTATATGTGCAGTTTTCCATCCTACAGAAGGAAGTACTGATATATATATATATATATATATATATATATATAATTTTTATTTTTTTCTTTCTGCAAACTCACTGTTAACACTGCAGCAAGTAAAAAGTGGTTTACAGCCTCTGATTACACTCATGATTATTCAATATTTTTCCTATGTTTACTCATTTTCATTAAACTATATTTCTAAAGGTGCATGTTTAAGCCATCTGACAGCTCATATCAACTATCCCTTATGTGGACAATAAAATGTATCTTATTTTCATATTAATTAGTTCATGATTGTTTGTGTGAGGTTTGTGTGTCAATATATTTGATGTTTAAGCAGTGGATCTGTCAAACTACCCTCTCTGTGTCATCTTCTCTATTTTCGACAATTATAGACTAAGTCTGAAATTATCTAATAATAGATATCCTACTCCTTCACCTTTTTTGGGGGTCAAAGATAAGAATTCAGTTGTTGGTAGTAAAGAAACCTCAGACTACGTGGATGATGCTTGTCAATCGGGGACTACAGTCTTCTGAAAAAAAAAAACATCTTAGAGTCTGATTAACTCTAAGATACTGACTGAATTAGCCATCGCAATTGTGTCTAACGTTAGAAAATAGAGTAAATAGAAAGTAATTCACTGTGAAATGTCAATGTATTAATTGTTAAGTGGATGACGCTGTTGTTTTTGTAGTGTTTGTATTTCTCATTTGAAAAAGTAATGTGCTGAAACATACTGCATGTTATATTGATGGGGGGGGGGGGAAGCAACTCAAACATTTTTAAAGGCTAATGCACAACCGCAGCATAAAAGTATATGGAACCATGCATGCACATTTTGCTAACAGAAAAATACTATAGCATTAACAAACATGTACCTATAATTCAGTCTTGATGTGAAATCTTGAAATTATATGTAATATGTAACTACGACATCAATATCATCAACACATGTATATTACATGTACATCAGTTTAGCATTTTTGGTGAATCTGTATTATTGTACTCCATAAACACACAAATTTTGTTTTGATGGATTTGTATAACATGTTACATGATTCATAGACTTCATTGACATAATGACTATGTAATGTGATGTGCCTAATTTTTTTTATTATAAGTTACTAATCTACTTACCGGTATGCTATGAAGCAGCAAGTATGTGTTCAAGTGATTTATCTTTATTCTAAAAGTGTTAAGCCTCCCTGAAAATGACATCATTGTTGTTCAATGCTGTAGCGCATTTATTGTTTACATTGCAACCGGTCTAACTAGGGAGTACCAACATTGCGGCTGGTGGCTTCACTCCACCCCGTACTACCAACAGGCTATCAGCAGTCCAGTGAATAGAGATCAGTTGCGACAGCGAAGGACCTCACAAGCTTAACTATGATAGGTAGCATACAGGCTATTCTTCCTATCTCCTTCTTTACTCTTAGAACAATGCAGCCTTAGGTTCACTAAAAGTCTTTATCACTACTCATAACATTCTTTTTTGAGTAATTCTTAATTTTACATCACTAAATGCTACTTCTATTTCTGATATCCTTATGATCATTTAAGTAATTCCATAATTAAGATTTATCAGAGCCTATATTCACAACTCTTTGAGTTTTATTTATTTTGTATTTGGATCATTTTAAATCACTCCTTAAAGCTCATTTATATTCCTTGACATGTCAATATCTGAATCTGTAAACTATTTGTCCTAAAGGTGCACTTTGGTTTGGTGCTTTATGATTAGAATTGACATTCAGTGTAGTTTTTGGTGCACGTTATGTAGTAATAGACCAACACATAGTAGAAGAAAACTGAGAGGGAATGAGGACAATACATATCTGTCTAAATGTTTAACAAACTGAATCTAAAAAGTCTACAGTCCATTCAACTCCCATTAACCACTGTGTAGAGTTAAAATTTTGGTTACTCAGCCAGTGTTCCAGGGCCCAGTATACCCACTATTTTTTTCTGAAATTCAATACCAGCAAACAATTTCACATAAGATGAAAAAAAAAAACTTAAAGACATCAATAATTGCATATATTGTTGATATTTATCTTTTAACTCTAACACTATGACTGTTGGATTTCCTAAACCTGTCCCTCATTCTCTGAGATATCCCCTGTACATTTTTAGAAAGTCCTTCTCTTGAAAAGTATCTCGCCAGATTGTTTGAATGAACAATCTGTTTTTTTTATCTTTACCCAATAAGCAATTATATGTTGAAAGTTTGAAAAAGAAAATCCCTTATAACATTTACTTTTTTTTAAATAAAGACAAAGCAAACTGATCCAGACCTAAACACAATACGAGCATAAGTTTGTTCCTGCCAAATTAAATTGAGTTCGCCTCGGAAGTCACCTCATTAGAAAACAGGGTCCCTATGATATACTTCTAATACAATCTGTATGCATATAGATGTGAATTTATGTGTGTATCTGTGTGCATGTGTCTGGCCAATGTCGTCATGGTTACTGAGGTCCGACACGCCAGGATTAATCAGTCTGTCCAGTAATGAAAGAAAGGAAACAGGAGCTGCTGAAGTTCAGGTAGTAGAGGAGTTGGATATTTAGTCCATTTCGGAGGTCTAGGCCTTAACATCCACATTAAAATTTTGCATGACTTTTTCTTGGTCACTCATATAAAATCATTAAAGAATACATAAGACTTTCTGGTTGTAGCCATATAAATACCAACAAGCATCATTTTTGTATTAAAATGTTTAAGCAGAAGGAAAAACAATTGTTCAGCAAGGGATTGTAATTTTCATTTAGTTTTTAAATGTAGCAAAACACGCATATTTAGTGAAACATTTGTTATAAAATGACAATATTTTCAATTAGTGGGCTATTTTAAATCTGATCTTACTCAATGAATTGAATTGCCAAAGGTTTACAGCAGGATGCATGTCGGCTTATACGCAAAACCTCTGTTATTTGTCATTGTATGTTTTGGCAAATGATTGAAGGAAAAACATCCAATTATGATCCTCTCTCTGTAGACAAACATGTTGTGATTCTAGTAGAAAAATCCATAATGTTAGGCTTATGCAATCCCTCAGAGGAGTGATCCTGATTATCTGCCTGCGTGATGGGATGAACCTTCACCAGCAAGCCCAAAGGGGAAAGTAGTTTTTATTTGCCAAAACAATGTCACTGAACAATCAGTCAGCATTACTTCAAAAGATAGTACCCTTTGCCATGTTGTCCCAGTGACCGATCATTACCACCTTTGAATGATAGTTTATAATTTCGATTATTTGGTTGTCTATTGTTAATAGTTTTATTAAGAGCTTGTCAATCCAGCTTGGAAACTTTATTTGAAGTCAAATTTTAAAGAAAAGCTTGAGCATAGTTGTTTTTATGTACAATCTCTTTATGTTCCAGTGTCAATATTTACTGCTGACCTCGTGAGCATGGATCTGTGCACGTCAAGTAGGGTCACCCACTGTTTGTGTAATCTTTTTCAAATTCTTTTTTATTTATGTGGTCAATGTGTCAATGATTAACCCCTTATGAGGCCAGATCTCCATACAAATACGAGTGCCTCACAGAAATCTCATAAGAATAAATCCTAAAGCTGTTTGATGTACTTTTAAGAAGCTCTACTACAAAAGCAATGCTTGAATTTTCTGAGAAGCTGACATTTGTTGCGGCAGTAGCTCTGGCTGTCCTGGCTTTGGGAGGTTCGTCCCCGGTATTGGTGCCTGAGCCTATTCGCTGCGCTCCGTGTACACAACAGATGCTGAGCAACTGTCCCGCACTCTCTGCTGACTGCAAGCAAGTGCTGAGAGAACCAGGCTGTGGGTGCTGCATGGCTTGTGCTCTGGAGAAAGGAGCTTCCTGTGGGGTTCACACAGCCCACTGTGGTGAGGGTCTACGCTGCACTCCCAGGCCAGGTGAGGCCAGACCACTGCATGCCCTGACCAGAGGACATGGAGTGTGCACTGAAGATGTGAGACAAGGTAGGCTTAGGAATTCTTTTTGTGATGCGTTTTAAAAGAATGTTATTTTTCAGCTTTTGAAGAAAAATTATGAGAGCTGATGTCTGCAATGCATTTTTCAAAACCCCTTTAGAGGTAGCTGATGAAGTCCAAGAACATGACTCTGTGCACTACCTTTTGGGACTTAATCTTCCATCTGATCACCAAGACGCTGCAGAGGGCCGTGAGAGTTTAAAAGCAAGAGTTAATGCTATTCGCAACAAACTGGTACAGCAGGTGAGGCAATGCATCAGTCTGATTAAAGAAGACCTTCTTGATACACAAGAAAAGAGTAAACCTAGATAGATAATCTTTAAAAAAAAAGTATAGTTGGATTAGATAGGGGATAGACAAATAGGGGGTACAAATATTTCTGCTTCTTCTTTCAGGGTCCCTGTAATATTGAACTGCACACAGCACTGGACATGATTGCCAGTTCTCAGCAGCAACTGGGTGATAAGTTTACAACATTTTACCTCCCAAACTGTGACAAACACGGCTACTACAAAGCCAAACAGGTGACTATTTTTTGGGTTTCATTCCAGCACAAAAGCAGGTATTTGTGTAGGAATATGTGTGACTCTGCTTGGTTTTATGTTATAGTGTGAGTCCTCTCTGGTTGGGCCGCCTGTTCGCTGCTGGTGTGTTTCATCTTGGAACGGGAAGAAGCTCCCAGGATCCAGTGACCTTCTTGCTAATGCACAATGCCATCAAGAAGCCACTCTTTAAGATATGAACTAACACAAGAAATACATAAATGTATTAAGTAACTTTAATTTTAGTTAAATATGTAAAATTGACCTAATGTACATAGAATTTTTAATCATGTGAGGCAAAATGGCCACCTATTTTATGAACATCATGCAAAACATTATTTATTCTTTCCTTGTATATTCTTGAAACAATTATCAACTTGTCTTTTTAAGAGTTATACATTTTTATTTTTAGCTGACTGAATAACTCCATTACTCAAAACAAGTCTGCACCTCAGCCAAACTAAGTATGCTTTGTTATAGCCAAAAACGGCGCTACCATCACGGGTCGTTTATCCAAAGTGTTGATGTTTTCTAAATCCCTGTTCAGGTATTCAATGAGGATTCGCAAAGGGATTCACATTTGCTAACCAGAAGTATAAAAGGGTTATCCAAGACACTGCACATTTCAATATGCACTGCATATTTGTCTACCTCTGCTTGCATCTGCAAGTTATTTGGCTTTGTGACCAATGGTTGCAAAGATTCTTGTATTTATTTGTTTGTGCATTTTAATGTAATGTTATAAAAATATATGCAGTGGGCTGGATGGAGTGTTATTTCTGAAATGTTGCTATGCTGTTAATGCATTTTCTAATAAAGCATTGTACATAGTACTCAGGGATGCTTATTGATACGCTTCATAAAGTTGAAACTATTTCAGTGTGTTTAATTTTTATGACTAGGGTGAAAAATAAGACAGAATTCACCTATATTTTTAATGCCTTTATTAAGTAAAAATAGATTTCAGTTGCTGTACTGTACATGCAAAAATACTTTTGCTAGGAAAATCATAAAACAAAACCTGTGGCTTTTAGAGAAATTGATCATGGCAGAGGCCTTAATCTCAAGTATTTGAGTTTTGCACACAACGTCAATAATAGAAGTGATAGTCACAGTTGACATAAAAAATAGTTTTTCTATCTGTGGCTTAAGATCCAGCATAGCAATGCATGGTGGTGTTTGAGCTGCACAAGGTCATTGTAATCAACTAAAAACAATGAAAGTAATACAAATAGGCATTTATAGTAAGGCACTGCATGATTACATTGAACAGCAAATTCATACATACAGACATTTTATGCTCACCTTATCCACATATAAGGTTTTTCAAAATTACAAGCATACAAATAATGATTACAAAACAAAATGTATGTACACTTATGCGATGCCACAGAATTGTGCGTAAAACGAAGAGCTAAAACATCGCCATTCTTCTTCTGGTGTGCTTCTTTTGTATGTGTGTTTCCTGATCGGTTTAAGGCATTTGAAATTAATTCTAAAGCATATAACTTTTCCAGAAGCTGTCCAGGTGGTAGTAAGAAATAAGAGCTTATTGTCTGTGCGTAGCACAAATTCCGGGACTTTCCTCTCGGTACACTTTCTCTGCACCCTTTTGCTCTGCCTCAATGAAAAAGGGTCCCACAGGCAACAGATAGAAAGAGCAAACATCCATATATCAGCAAAGCCATCTCTTGACCTCTCCTCCAATATCCTTAGTGTATCTATTTGTTTACAGTTCTTTTTGATCACTCGCAAACTCCGTCCCTCTCTTTCCAGCCTCCTTCACTCCTATTGGCTCTCGGAATTGTAGCGCTGGACTCCTTGATCCTTCCCATCAAACCCTGGCAGAGGCTGCCCGTATTTGTCCACACACCAACAGATGCCTCGCTTTCTGCCTTTGGACGGACGGCACTGCAAGTATACAAAGAGAAAAATTGATGGGGGACAAAAAAAATGCAGGAGGCCTTGACAAAATAAAAAAATATTAATTATTCAAAGCATCTCACACCTATGAAGTAAAACAGCATAGTTAAGAGGCATTAATGCTTAGACTGCACTGAGCCCATGCAACCTTAGCCATCCAACGCACTGTGGTATTTTGAGCTGCTAATTTTACGGTCCACCTCCTGTTTCAGACACGTATGGAGACCTTTAAGGTAAATAGAACCATAGTAAAATATTTACTTAGTCCCGTTTGTGAACAACTGTGAACCAGAAATCTATTTTCAGAAGCTCCTGGCCAGAACGAATCATCTGTTGCTGATTATACCCCACAGCTCCAAATTATGGGTACTACAAATGACTTACAGAGTCTGTGGAGCTACCCAAGGGCTGTTATTTTACTGCCAATTTTACTAAAGGTTAACCTCCACTCCAGTCAAACATGCAGCCATTCATTTCAAGGGCTAAAGCAACTGTGCCATGGCTCCACTGGCTGGTTGAAGCTGATCAGAAGGGAGATTTTCTTTTTTTAGTTTAATATTTTAGAAAAAAATAACTTAAATGATTAGTTTGTTAAGAATAATTTTCTATTTATGTTTAATCAGTATGCAAGAATACATTTTTTAATAAAGCTGCACAATAGGAAAATGATGAAAACTTGCATAATCTAGGAATGAAGTATTTTTTTGTGAAAATTGTTCTTTTGGTGATTTGCAACAGTTATCAAAGCAGTGATTAGACATTGGCAGGTTACCCTTATCAACCTACTCTTTATGCAAAGCTGCTTGAAAGGCTTTGATAAGTTCTAAAAGGTATATTATGGATACGGAAGCATTTACCTCAATCATAGAAGCAACTCATATCAGCTGTTTGTGTAACAGGAAAGCCAATAGGAAAAACAAAGTATGATTTTCTTTGCAATTAGCACTTGAAACATACCATTTACTGCTTTTTCCTCAAGTCTATGAAAAACAAAGTCGCACAATTGTTTTATCTTGGAATACTGTGCAAGTCTGTAAATAAAACGGCACAATATTTGTAAGTAACAACTACTGTTTTAATAAATGTCGGTAGGATGTTTTTTACTGCCATTATTAAAACCATTAAACTGTGTGTCCTGTGCATAGCTTTCCAAAACTATAGTTTATGCACATGATTTTATTTTTTATTAAATCTGTATTTTGTTTTGTCTCACAATGTTTAACCTTTTTCAGTTTTTTCCAGGTTTTCACAGTGAGAAAGACAGACTGCTGTGGATCGAACTTCCTCATTTTTAATGCTCTGAGTGATGTGCTCATTTGAACACAAGCGGCTTAGCAAAGCTTAAAAACTTGCCATCACTTTAAAAACAAAGCATTCCGTTTTCTGAAACAGGAAAACAAGTTTTACTCAAAGTTGTCTAAATTTATTTAATTGGAACAAAAGCCAAATTATTAATGTGATTTGTCCAAAAGGATGGTAAAGTTAATCTTGCACTAAAAATGACCTTTCAACACTAGGAAGCATTATAATTATTTCATATCAGAAATGGAGCAAAAATCCTAATCACACTATAACTAAACAGTGGTGTAATTCACCAGCTTTTGCAATTTGTTTGGGTGATGATATCAGGAGTGTAATAAGAAATAGAACCGCATGATCTACATCCATTTAATGATTAACGATTTAAATATGAATAGAAATAGAATCATGAAACACTTTGCAATGTTGACAAACATTGTATTATTTTCAACGTTTGTCAATATTCAATAAAGGTGACAAAGTAATCTATATAACTGGATATCTGACTGAATCCATATATTAATGTGAACAGATTCATTGTTATCATCCTATTACTTAGTACAAATGTATTAATCAAGATGTCATATATTAGCATCAGCAGGAACAATAATTGCTTCATTGTTTTTAAAATCTAATTAGATCATCTTAAAGTCCCTTGGTTTGGAGAAAATAAACTGTTTTATTTTTACTGAAGGCTATGATGTCTTGAGACTCAGACCAACAAATACCCACCTATACCAAAAGTTAATTTTACTTAATATTATACATGTCTCAGAGCTGAAATGCTAAAACTGATAGGCCCTCCAGTTTCTAAGTGTAACATATGAACCCGCTATGGTAGACCTGTATTAAGACGACTGCAGGCCAGGCAGAGGGAAGAGGGGTTGATGTGCAAAAAGATAATCTGTTTTGATGATACAGTTGAGATGGAGCCCCAAAGGTCTCCATGTGAATCCGTCAGAACTGCCCATTTATTACAGCCCTATCGTGGGTGAACCAATTGAGGCGGGGACGGCTGCAACTCTATTTCTGTGTCTTCTTCTCAAAAGTCCAGCAATTATGGGGCAAGTACATGGGGTGCCAGTGGCCACCTTGACGTCTGTCTCCCTGGGAGGGGAGGTAAGACAACCGTCGTCCCAGCCATCAGCTCTGCTGGGGTTTTGGCCCCTGTGGTTTGTATTTCCAGAGCCAGTGGCTACAGTCTGCCTCACTGGTGTGGTGTAGTGACGAAGCTCTAATAACTACTGATGTAAAACAAGAGGACAGCAGCGAGGCTGTAATTGGGAGGCAGAAAACCTAAAGTTTGAGTCACTGGAGTAAAACATTTAATCACTATTAAATTGTAGGAAAAATAAAAAAGCTAATTTTCAGTGACTAGATTTTTAAAGCTGCAAGATGTTAAGCCGGCAAATCATTTAATAAGGAAACATGATCAGTGAATAAAATGCAGAATTGAGGGTAATTCTTGCTATCTGTACCTGTTTTTTCCTATAGAAGCCTTTCTTATCACAGTTTGGGATGCGGAAACCTCTGGGGTTCAGGATGTTAATGATTTTCAAGGTGCTGAGAATGTGCTCAATCTCTCTCCGACATGGACCCTGAAACAATGAGAAGAAAGTTTAGTTGCTTTTTTCACACCCAATAAATTGTCTCAGCTTTCTAAAAAAAAGTGCATACTGTTCATGCTTTAAGCACATGCACATCATTTTGTGCATCACTAATGGCCTGTGAATAAACTAAATCTGACTCACTTTGCTGTGCACCCTGCTCTGCTCTAATACCTTAACAATGGAGGCGGCAATATAAAAGAGGCAGCATATAAAAATTGTATTCAACTGACTTGAAGAGGCTTAACAGTTTGCAAAGCTGCTTAGAACTCTTACGTGTAACACAAAGGATAGGGGATAAATTGAATTAAAACAGCTAACGGATTGAGCAAAAAGGCCTGTTCTCAAGTCCAAGTACTTCAGTCACTAATCAGAGAAGCCAGTCAAAGCCCATCACTAGAGTGTGCTCACTTCTCTGGCCAAAGCAAGATGAAAATAGCAGCAGGGTTTCCCATCAGGCTCTCACATCAGCCAGTCCATCATTTGCTGGCTCTCACAGCACCCGGCACGCGGACGCCTTGTGGCCAAACAACCGCCTGACCTAGGTCAGCCGCAGAACCGTGGTACACGCTTGTTGCCATGTCACTCTGCTGCACCAGATCGCTGCCAGCCATCGGTACTGCTATCCAAAACATTTCATCACCCGCAGCAGGAAGAGAAAACACCAAAACACAGAGGAGGGGAGAAAAACATTCCTCCAGTGTGTTCAAAAGTCAGAAAAATGTTTGCGGTACTTACATACTCAGACTCCTGTTTGGTTTCTAGAGAGATGTTTAGTTGGTCTTTGATGGTTGGTCCTGGGAGATCCTCCATCTTAAAGTTCTGGGTTGCCTTCTGTTGTTCCCATCTGATGGCATTTGACTTTGCAGAGTCAAAGTAGGGATAAAGCGAAGGCCTGGGAGGTGCAGGGTTACAGGGAGTTTCGAGATGTC